TACTTGGAAATGCCAATTCGCTTTAGTATTCAATTGACATCTATTGGCATAGCTTATCAGTAACAGAAAAGTGATTTAAGAGCGACACCACAAGAGTTTCAGAAATTTCTCTCTTTAAGACAAAATGTAAATTTCTCTTTATCGAAAATCTGCTACAATTTACATATTCAAATCTGAAATTCCTTGAATTTAATATGACGTATAGGCCTACACACATGGTAGAAGAATACAGGTAGATGCATCAACGCTTGGGAACATTGTTATGTCAAATAATTTAAATGTATTTTTTAATAAAGTAGATATTTATACGCTTTCTTATACGACATCATTCGGAGATTATTATAATACGCATTTATCAACAATTTTTACCAATTTGAATAATATTTCATTCAAAAATTTCTATTCCGAAATTGGTTTGACAGTTCATTGTCCCATCAGCTGTGTCAATGCGAGACTACCTGTATTCTTCTACCATGGTACATGTACTTTTTCGATCATAGCGAGCCCTATTTTCATGTGAAACATATAATTTAATAAAAAATGTTGTTTGTTTGTTGGGTGAAAATATATAAAATAAATTTGCCGTAAAAATGCATCTACAAATTATTATCATTTATTATAATGGCAATTTTGACATACACTCGCAAATACACATGGAAAATTAAAGTGACATATCGTCCCCCATTCTTTGCAAAACCATGACATCAGTGCTGCCGAAAACACTGAAGACTTAAGGAGAGAATACATAAAACCCTTTTTTGGCTGCCTTAAGTAATCGGTTGGCTTTTTCATGAAAGAAAAAGGAGAGTAGGGTAAACAAGTATAAATTATGGCACGAAATTGAACTAAGTCAACCTAAAGCTCTTTTGTGCTTTTACATAGAAGTCAGCCAATGACTTAAGCCAGTCAGAAAAGCGTTTTATATATTCTCACCTTTATAGATTGATACTTTTAAGGTGAGAATACATAAAACGCTTCTTTGACTGGCTTAAGTCATCGGCTGGCTTCTTTGGAAAAGGACAAAGGAGCGTTAGAGCAAAATCGAACTAAGTCAACCTTAAACTCATTTTTTCCTCTACAAAAAGGCCAGCCGATGACTTAAGCCAGTCAGAAAAGCTTTTTATGTACTCTCACCTTTCATTTTTTTTTTTATCTTCGAATTTATCTTAGAATAGTCACCGCATTTACACTAAACTTTAAACCAGGTTTTAGCACGTAATTTACCATACAAACAATAACAGCGTCACACGTGTGTGTTTATATGTAAACAAACATCAGCTGATTGTCACAAAAAATTACTTTTAATTCGAGATAAAGACTCTGTAGCTATTCCACAAATCGAGATCATTAAAATTTCATAATGAAACACAATGAAAGCTTTGTTTTCAAATGTTTTGGCAAAAATTTCATGAAATTTTCAATAAATTATATAATTTATTTGTGGTGCGTGGTGGTTTATCTTTGGGACATTCAATGCGTAAACAGCAGTCGGGAAAGGGTTTTGCGAAATCGGCATGCATAAAAACACAAGAATTATGGCCGAATGGTATGGGACAACTAAAGAAAAAAAGAAAGAATGCTATATTATTAGCTTCCGATTGACTGGATAAACGTACCTCTTTTTCGTCATTCCACGTTCGGTACACTCCAAAAGTTCACACCTGCTTGCCGGCTGATAAGTTTCTCCTCTCCGTAGAACTTGGTCGTCATAGGCAATGCAAATCTCATCGATGGCTGAGAAAACTGAAAACATGTTTTTTAATTAATTTATGACAAGATATTGTTTTTAGACGTCTATTTTAATTAGCATCTTTGCCCACCTACCCCTGGTGAAAGTAAGAAACGACGGAACCAATATAAAAATAAAAACTTTCGTTTTCATTTCGCCAAAAAAAAAAAATGTTGTTTCTAATGAATGAGGGATGCTTTCAGATCCAGTTTAGATTGTAAACTGTTTTTTATTTTAAGCCAACATTGGTAATTCTATTGGCCAAGAGTTTTGGGGATGCAACAACAATTGGTACGAAACCAATTAATATATTTAGATCTTTGACAAGTTTGAAATAATTTATATTTATGTCCAATATTTTAGCTTCTTTAAAAATCCACGCTTAAAGCGTTATTGAGGCTTGCAAAATATTCAAAAAAGAGTCTTGTCTAGCTTTGCTTCAATGCGACGAGTCTAAATTACTTGTTTTACGTAGATTCATCATTCATTTGACGTATATTCAAGGGAATTAAGGCGAGAGTACATAAAAGGCTTTTTGACCGGCTTAAGTCATCGGCTGGCTTCCTCGGAAAAGAACAAAGGAGCGTAGGGCCAAAAAAGTCAACCTAAAACTCCTTTGTTCCTCTACGAAGAAGCCAGCCGATGACTTAAGTCACTCAAAATAGCGTTTTATGTATTTTCACCTTAATTCATAAAAATAATTCTTATTCCAGGCACTTTAAGGTGGGAATACATAAAGGGCTTATCTGGCTGGCTTAAGTCATCGGCTGGCTTCTTCGGAAATGAACAAAGGAGCCTAGGGCCAAAATCGAACTAAGTCAACCTAAAACTCCTTTGTTCATCTACGAAGAAGTCAGCCGATGACTTAAGCCAGCCAAATATGCTCTTTATGTATTTCCAGCCTTACTCCCAAAACAGAATTAACTCTTGCTAGCAGGCTTTGCTTCCTTCTTGATTTATTTATATATTTTTATATCCTTTATTTCCCCAGTTTAAATATTTTAATTCCAACATAAGGTTTAGATATTCAAATTATTTTTTCAAAAAAAAATTGTTTTAACTTTGCAAGCATCATCCTGAAGCGCCTATTCTGTCTCGGTCGCAAGTATATAAAAAGCTTGAAGTCATGGCTAGACATATTAATGTCAAATTATAATGGAAAACGACGGCAGGATTTTAGTGCGGCTCTGTAATCCCTTTGTGAAATGTCACAAAATATGCCTAGCCATGACTTCAAGCTTCTTATGTACTTAGCCCTTAAATCATCGGCTGGCTTCTTTGTAGGGCAACAAAGTAGCCTAAGGCCAAAATCGATCTAAGTCAACCTAAAACTCCTTTGTTCCTCTACGAGAAAGCCAGCTGATGACTTAAGCCAGCCAAATAAGCGTTTTATGTATTCCCACCTTCAGAATTCTAAATAACGGGTTTTATGAAAGCATATTTAGAGTGAACAAGGCTTATAACAGTACGTTTACATATAAATGGTTTAACCCACTGAATTTAAATTAAAATTGTCATGTGCATTAAGGTGAGAGTACATAAAAGGTTTTTTTTTGACTGGCTTAAGCCATTGGCTGGCCCCTTTGTGAAAGAACAAATGAGTTTTAGGTTGACTTAGTTTGATTTTGGTCCATCATTTATACTAGCTCATCCTACGAGTCATTTCAAACCGTCCAAATTGTCCGAAACCTGTAGCTTGCCGATTGACCCGTATCCCAACATTTTTGACTTTTACATTTGACTTTTTCGTAAAAGAATAAAAGAGAGTATAAATTACGGGCCGAAAATGAACTAAGTCAAGCTAAAACTCCTTGGTTCTTTTACGAAGAAGCCAGCCGATGACTTAAGCCAGCCAAAAAAGCCTTCTATGTACTCTCCTCCTTATGGTGATACATGGCATATTATTACGGCGCCAGAATTCGAATGCGATGCAGACATACTCTTTTACCGTGTCAAAAAATAAGTCGTGCCATAATGACAAATGCTTATGTACAAAAACCTTTAAGGCAAGAATGCATAAAAGTCTTTTTCTGACTGCCTTAAAGGTGAGAATACATAAAAAGCTTTTTTGACCGCCTAAAGTCAGCGGCTGGCTTCTTTGGAAAGGAACAAAGAAGCCTAGGCCCAAAATCGAACTAAGTCAACCTTAAACTCCTTTGTTTATCTACGAAAAAACAGCCGATGACTTAAGCCTGTCAAAAAAAACTTTTTATGTATTTCTGACTCGCCTGCTTTTTCAACTGTCAAATATTAGGGATAAAGACTATGGAATTCATTGATGTGTTTTACCTTTTTTTTGAAAACATTAATCTTAATAAAATTAATTTTTGTATTCCGCAGACGAAAACAAGTAAAGGTGGGAATACATGCAGTGCTTATCTTGCTGGCTTAAGTCATCTGCTGGCTTCTTCGAAAATGAACAAAGGAGCCTAGGACCAAAATCGAACTAAGTCAACCTAAAACTCCTTTGTTCATCTACGAAGAAGTCAGCCGATGACGTAAGCCAGCCAAATATGCGTTTTATGTATTTCCACCCTAAATTAAATTTTATATTAGGCCGTAAAAAATTGCTTTTTACATAAGTCAACTACGTAAATTGCAACAGCGCAACAACTTGAACATCTAATTTATATGTGTCACACATTGGATTTAAAAAATCTGTTAAACAAATCTTAATTTTATTCGAAAATCTCCTGATAAACTACACACACATATATATATATAAATATGTGTGAGTCAACAGATGACCTTTGCTATCAAGCGGTTTCTTAAAAATAAAAATTGACACAATTACACAATGAAAGAAATAGCCGGAATATAAGACAAGCATTGAGACGATGAAGATTGAGCTAATACAACGACTTAAAAATGTAGTACGTTAGGTGAGAATACATAAAACGCTTCTTTGACTGGCTTAAAAGTAAGGATACATAAAGAGCTTATATGGCTGGCTTAAGTCATCGGCTGGCTTCTTCGGAAATGAACAAAGGAGCCTAGGACCAAAATCGAACTACGTCAACCTAAAATTCCTTTGTTCATCTACGAAAAAGCCTGCCGAGGAGTTTAAGGTTGACTTAGGTTGACTTAGTTCGATGTTGGCCCTATGTGACTTAAGCCATTCAAAAACGCATTTTATGTATTCTCACCTTTGATCCCCCTTACTGTTGTTTTTATAATACTTAATAGAATTTTTTGCCAATTTTTTCTCCAAGTCTTGCCAACCGAACGATGTACCAACAATACCATCCGCTTCTCCGTACAGCTGCAGTAATTAAGAAATTTATTTTAATTCTTGGCGATTGTTTTATTCCGCAGTCATTCGGAGAAATTGTGAACATGGTTGGAATACGAAAAACAAAATCTAATCAGTTGATATTTGGACAACAAGACGTAAAGAATTCCCAAATAATAAACACAGAAAAAAATGTCAGCCATGAAATTTATTGTTTTAATTGCAATTTGTGTGCTGAGCTTTGTTGTTGTGGCGCAAGGTAAGTAAACTCTTTAAATGTGTTTTTTTATAAAATCCAATTTTTTTCAAAAAAAAAAAAACAATTTTAAAATAATGTGAATTTATTACTCCTTCTTTGACAGCTGCTGACAAGTGCACCATCAATGGCAAAACTTTGGAACAGGGTGAAAAATACCAGCCACCGGGAAAGTGTGAACAATATGAATGCTTTGGCAAAAATGGTGTCATACAAACAGGGTAAATATGGGAAATTATATTACGTTTACATGCACCTCGTAACACATGCATGAGGAAAATGCATATTTCAGATAGGAAAATTTACTATGATTGGTCAATACCAGCACGGCAGAAGAATACAGGTAGACGCATCAACGCGTGGGAACATTGATATGTCAAAGAATTTTAAATGTTTTTTGAAATATAAGTAGATTTTTATATGTTTTCTTATACGACGTCATTCGGAGGTTATTATAATTCGCGGTTTTCAACAAGTTTTACAAATTTCAATAATTTTTCATTCAACATTTTCAATTTCAAAATCGGTTTGACAGTTCATTGTCCCTGCAGCTGTGTCGATGCGACTAACTGTATTCTTCTACCATGGAAAATATGTGAAATTATATTAAGTTTACATGCACCTTATTACACATACATCAGGAAAATGAATGTTTCATCCCCAAATGTTAAATGCTTACAATTTGTATACCCTCCAGCATAGTATGGAGGGTATATGACATGGTAGAAGAATATAGGTAGACGCGTCGACATAGATGCTGGGACAATGAACTGTCAAACCAATTTCGGAATTGAAAATGTTGAATGAAAAATTATTTAAATTTGTAAAAATTGTTGAAAACGAGAATTATAATAGCCTCCGACTGACGTAGTATCAGAAAACATGCAAAAATCTATTATATTTTAAAAAACATATAAATAATTTGACATTTCAATGCTGCCACGAGCGTTGATGCATCTACCTGTATTCTTCTGCCATGGTATATGAAGGTTGTCATTCTGTTTGTAGCACCTCGAAATATACATTTTAGTCCCCACAGAGTATAAGTACATATTCTTGATCAGCATAAAATTCTATGCCGATTTAGCGATGTCCGTCCGTCTGTGGAAATCACTCTAGCTTCCGAATGAAATGAAGTAGGTTGATAAAATTTTACTAAAATATACATTATGTCTGCAGGACTTTTGGTTTTGAAAATGGGCTATATAGGTCGACGTTTAGTTATAGCCCCCATATGACTGTACCTCTGATTTTAGCGACATTATTTACCGGAATTGTTTCAAATTTGGTATTTAAAGTTCGTAATAGAAACTACAGTCTATAACAGAAAATTGTCTGTGCAGATCCACGTCTTCGTATAGCCCTCATATATCGATACCTCCAGATATTCGGTATTTTGACAATTTTAGCGGCATTACTCACCGGATTTGTTTCAAATTTGGCATTTGAAATTCTTTTTCGGTACTTCTACCTATGACAGAAAATTGTCTGTGCATGTCCACGTTTAGGTATATCCTCCATATAATTGTACCTCCCTATTTTCGGTATTTTGGAGACTTTATCGACATTATTCACAGGAATTGTTTCAAATTTGGTATTTGAAGTTCTAAATGAATACTACATCCTATGACAGCTCCACGTTTTGGTATAAACCCCATATAATGGTAGCACCCGATATTCGGTATTTTGATGATTTAAGCGACATTATTTACAGGAATTGTTTCAAATTTGGTGTTTGAAGTTCGTAATAGAAATTACAGCCTATAACAGAAAATTGTCTGTGCAGATCCACATCTTCCTATAGCCCCAATATAAAGGTACCTCCGAATATTCGGTATTTTGATGATTTTAGACACGTTATTCACCAGGATTTATTTCAAATTTGGTATTTGAAGTTCGTAATGGATACCACAGCCTATGACAGAAAATTATCTCTGCATGTTACGTCTTCGTATAGCCCTCATACAACGGTACCTCCCGATATTCGGTATTTTGGTGATTTAAGCAAGATTATACACCGGAATGGTCTCAAATTTGGTATTTGAAGTTCGTAATGGAAACTACAGCCTATAACAGAAAATTGCCGATATTCGAAATTTTGATAATTTCAGCGGCATTATTCACTGATTTTTTCAAGTTTTCCACTTGAATATTGTAATGGCTTATGGCAAAAGTTGCTTATGCAGGTCCACGTCGTCATATAGACCCTAATATAACTGCAACATTCGGTATTTTTAAGATTTTAACAGAATTTTTAACGGATTTTTTTTATTTTGTTTATTATTTATTTATTTATTTTATTTTTTTTTTTTTTTTTTTGAAAATTGTCAAATTCGCTCCAAATGATGAAGGGTATTTAAAGTTCGGCCCGGTCGAACTTACAGTTTTTTTACTTGTTTTAATTTAAAAATATACAGCAAACAGGTTGAAATCCATTGAATTTTGTATATGTGAACATGCTTTTAGTCAAAAAGCCAAATAAAGCTGTATGGCCACAGATTAACTTATACTTGGCACCATTGTTTACTAACATTTTAAATGACTAAAAAATATGTAAATTTTGACAAATTTTTTTATTTTTGTTTTTAATTTCAGCTGTCCCAAAATAGATTCGCTGAAGCCCTGTAAATATATACCCCAAGATCCATCAAAGCCCTATCCCAAGTGTTGTGCCAGTCAAAAATGTTAAATGTGTATTTATGTTTATAAATTGTAAACAAATAAAACAACAAATAACTAATAAAAAATTAAAGCATATTTTATAAAACTAATAAGCTTGGTCTGGGGTACATACTTAAAGAAAAACAAAACAAACCAGCAAGGAAAAGTCAAAAGTCGGACGGGGCCGACTATATGATACCCTACACCACTATGCATATTTAGTAGAGCTGCCGCAACAAACTATGGCTATATCTGAACCGATTTTCACCACATTTGATGTGCTTGCTTCTAGACTGAACTCGGTGAGATGTACAAAGATTCAGATCATTTGGACTTATACTGGCCATTTGGTGCACAATTAACCCGAAATCGGTTGAAGATATATATGGGAGCTATATCGAAATCTGAATCGATCTTGATAAAATTTGGCAGAGGTATTGCAGGGCTGTATCTGATATCTGATACCAAATATCATCCTTGTGGAGTGCATATTACGAATGTGAGGGACTTAAAACCCCGAATCGGATGAAACATATACATGGGAGCTATAGCTATATCTGAATCGATTTGCATCAAATTTGATGTACTTGCTTCTAGACTGAATTCGATGGGATATGCCAAAATTCAGGTCATTTGGTCTGATATTGGCCATTTGGTGCACAATTAACCCGAAATCGCTTAAAGATATGTATGGGTGCTATTTCTAAATCTGAACCGATCTTGATAAAATTTGGCAGAGGTATTTCCGAGCTCTATAAGATATCCGGTACCGAATATCATTCTTATCGAGTGCAAATTACGCATGTGAAGGGCTTAAAACCCCAAATCGGATGAATCATATAGATGGAAGCTATAGCTATATCTGAATCGATTTTCATCAAATTTGATGTACTTGCTTCTAGACTGAATTCGGTGAGATGTACCAAAATTCAGGTCATTTGGTGCACAATTAACCCGAAATCGCTTGAAGATATGTATGGGTGCTATTTCTAAATCTGATTCGATTATCACCAATTTCAATAGGGTTCGTCCTTGGGCCAAACAAATATTTTTTGGAAAATTTCATCTCAATTGGATAATAAATGTGAGCTGCATTTTGTTCACAAGAATACATAGACAGACGGACGGACGGACTGACATGTATAAATCCACTCAGAAAGTGATTCTATGAAGATCCTCAAAAGTAGCTATGGGTTTATCTCGCTTCCTTCTCCATGTCACAAATATATGCACAAAGACCTAATACACTTACCTTATACTATGTGATGTATCCCATGAGAATTAAATAAAGCCACCTCCTTATTCCAAAAGTATTCAATACCCCTATATTTGGAATTTAATTTCTTTATTTATTTTTTGTTTTATTTTATTACTATTAATCGCTTGGTATACAATAAATACATATATTTAATAAGAAATATATTATTACTCAATAAATTATTTTTATGGTGTTCTCCTGTTTTGTTTCGGAAAATTCCTCATGATTATTATTGGTTTGCTCAAAAATCGTATACTTTCATAAAAACCACAACGGCAAACGGGAAACAATGATTGGTGAAAACCAGTAAAGAAAGTCTTTATGATACCCTACACCACTTTGCTAATTTAGTAGAGCTCCACATAACAATTAAAAGTTTTTATGGGAGAATTCAATCATACACGCTATGATATAAAGTTCAAAGGACTAAATTTGCCGAAGCATTTGTATCTTTTAAATTCGGAATTGTATTGCCCATTTGGTGCAAAATTAATTTGAAATCGGTTAAAGATATATATGGGAGCTATATCCAAATCTGAACCGATCTCGATAAAATTTGACAAAGATATTTCTGAGCTGTATTTGATATATTTCCCTGAATATCGTTGTTACGGAGTGCATATTACGGTTGTGGGTAACAAATATAACAAATCGGATGAATAATATATATGGAGGCTATAGCTATATCTGAACCGATCTTCACCAAATTTGACATACTAGCTTCTAGACTCAATTCGGTCGTAAGTGCCAAATTCCATCCCATTTGGACAAATATTAGACGTTTGGTGCACAATAAAAGGTAAATCGGACGAAGTTATATATGGGAGCTATATCCAAATCTGAACCGATCTCGATAAAATTTAGCAAATGTGTTTCTGAGCTGTATTTGATATATTTCCCAAAATATTGTTGTTGCCGAGTGCATATTACGGCTGCGGTGGACAAAAATAACAAATCGGATGAACAATATATAGGGGAGGTATAGCTATATTTGAACCGATTTCGATCAAATTCGGCATACATATTTTCAGGCCTAATTTGGGTGTATATGCAAAATTCCATACTATTCGGGCTGATATTACACGTTTGGTGCACAATAAAAGGCAATTCGGACGAAGATATATATGGGAGCTATATCTAAATTTTGACCGATTATCTCCAATTTCAATAGGGTTCGTCCTTGGGCCAAACAAATGATCTGTGCAAAATTTCATCTGGATCGGGCAATAAATGCGACCTGTACTTTGTTTACAAAAATACATGGACAGACGGACGGACGGACAGACGGACGGACGGACATGCATAAATCGACTCAGAATGTGATTCTATGCAGATCATCAAAAGGAACTATGGGTCTATCTCGTTTCCTTCTGCCTGTTACAAACAAATGCACAAAGACATAATACCCTGACCACCTTGTGGTGTAGGGTATAAATACATGAGTGGTACTGGCAAATATTTTTTGGTCATTAATTGTTGTTTTATATTTCTAATTTCTGATTTAATTGGATTTTGAAAATTATTGTTTTCGATTATGGACTTCAAGAATAATCATCCACCCGCAAAAAATAATTTTTTGCAGCTTCTTTTTTCCAAAAAAAAAAATAACCTTCAGTTCCAATCTTTTAATAACTCTGTGTTGCAGATTTGTTTTACACTTAGGCATTGTATGATTTTTTCTATTTAATTTAATTGTATATTAACATATATGTATTAAAGGCTCTTGTTTGAGGTATCTTCAAGTCTATAACTATTTTTCTTTTACTCTATAAACTAGCATTTTAAAGAGGTGTATACAGATTCTTTTTGGATTTGTTAGGTCGAAACAAATTCTGTCCATGATTTTTTTCGATAAAATTGTGTAACACAGGTCTTTTGCGGTGATAAACGTTATTCGGATAAAGTTTTCATAAGGCTAACATTATGTGGACATTGTTTTCCTATAGGAAATCTTTTTTCCGGATAATTTTTTTTATAAAAAGCCTCCTAGGGATAATTTTTTCCCACAGGAAACCTTATGTGGAGAACATTATACCAAACATAACCCGTCAAAATGGTTACCAGGGGCCGAATTCTTGCATTCGATATTGAAGAAAATTCATTCAAAACTCACTTTTGAATGCTAATTTTAGATTAATAAATCGAATGGAAGATTTTTTCCAAAGGATATGCTCCGTTCCAGAATCTGCAACGATCTACTATTTTTATACCCTCCACCATAGTATGGAGGGTATATTAAGTTTGTTATTCCGTTTGTAACACCTCGAAATATACATTTTAGACCCCATATATTCTTAATCAACATAAAATTCTATGGCGATTTAGCGATTTCCGTCCGTCTATCCGTCTATGGAAATCACTCTAGCTTCCGAACGAAATGAAGTAGATTGATAGAATTTTACCCCAATGTATATTATGTCTGCAGGACTTTTGGTATTGAAAGAGGGCCATGTAGGTCTACGTTTTGGTATAGCTCCCATATAACGCAACCTCCCGATATTCGGTATTTTGCTGATTTTTGCGACATTAGTCACCAGAATTGTTTCAAATTTGGTATTTGAAGTTCGTAATAGACGCTACAGCCTAAGACAGAAAACTGTCCGTGCAGGTCCTCGTCTTCGTATAGCTCCCATATAACGGTACCTCCCGATATCCGGTCTTTTGATGATTTTAGCTACATTATTCACCGAAATTGTTTTTAAATTTAGTATTTAAAGTTTGAAATGGATACTACATCCTATCACCGAAAATTGTCTGTGCAGGTCTACGTCCCCAAATAACGATACCTCCCGATATTCGGTATTTTGATGATTTTAGTGACATTATCCAGCGGAATTGTTTCAAATTTGGTATTTGAAGTTCGTAATGGATGCTACAGCCTATGACAGCAAATTTTATGTGCAGGTCCACGTATTCGTATAGCCCCCATATAATGGTACCTCATGATATTCGGTATTTTGTTGATATTAGCGACATTATTCACCGGAATTGTTTCAAATTTGGTATTTGAAGATCGTAATGGATACTACAGCCTATGACAGAAAATTTTCTGTGCAAATTGTCACCGATTTTTATTTTTTCAAGTTTCGCATTTGAAGATTTTAAGAGCATTTTTAACGGATTTTATTGTTTTTGAGAACTGCCAAATTCGTCGCATATGGTGGAGGATGTTCAAAATTCGGCCCGGCCGAACTTGAAGTTTTTTTACTTGTTAATTTTTGTTCGGTATCATAAAGGGAAAATCGGCTATCCTAGTAAAAAAAAAGTTTACATTTTCGCACTTCTGGAACAGACCAATAATGTTTTCCTTTTAGAAACCTTAGCCGGATGTTATTTTCCATAGAAAACTTAATTCGGATAATATTATCCGATAGGAAACCTTATGTTTTTCAAAAGAAAATATCCGGATGGTTTCCTATACAAAATGTCATTTTTATCTGTTTTTACATAAAGCGTTTCTTGTAGGTAACTTTATCCGAATACTTTTTTCCTTTTAGTAATATTTTCCCCACAGGGAAATGTGTACGAATTTTATCCCAATGGGCAGAATTGTTTCAATTACTTTATATGAATTTCAATAAAAGAAAAAAAAGAACAAAAAAATTAGGTGATAAAATATAATTTAATAAAGCAAAAAAACATCCATCCACTATAAGCGGAAGGAAGAACTAATCTAAAATAATTATCATAAATGAAATCTGCAAAAAAAATTAAAACAAAAACGTCTTGAAAATTTTCCAAAACCATACATTAGATTCGTTAAAGAAATCTTCGATTCAATGGAATAATGCTTTGGTCATGATCTCAGATTTTTTTCTAACAATATATATGTGAACAAAATTATTCTTCAGGACAAATGTATTGGTATTTGGAATATAATTTTCGTTTAGCTAAATGACTAAATTCTAAACTAAAACTAACTTATGAGCAAGAGATGAAATACAAAAAAAAACGTGTACGGGAAAAAAATTTAAATAAATTCAAAATTTGTTATAAAAGTTATTTATAAAGGCTATTGCTTAAAACAACTATCAGTAGTACTTTGTAATGAGATGCTGCTGCTGTTACTTGCTGTTGTCGTCGTCTTCGTCTTGAAATCGCTCTCCTCCATTTGCTCACTTGTTTCTTGGTGTTGTTTCAGCTCAGCTGGCGAAAGTAAATCTCATTGACGTGCCGAACGTTCGGTTTCCATTAAACATTCTCGCACCAAAATACGAGCATGTACAATGCCACGTTTAAGACGTTCCGTTGATGTTCTGGAGCCGGTATATGTGGGTCTTATGTCACGACCCATTTCTTCAATAACTGCCAAGAGTTGAGCATATTTTGTTAGGCCATTGCCGCTACTGCTGCTGCTATTCGATGAACTGAGGTTTAGGGAAGCCTGAACGGCTAAAAGTTCAGCTGGTGACGAGGATTGGGGATATTTAAGTTGCGATTGGGTATGTTGCTGCTGCTGCTGTTGTTGCACCTGTTGCTGGGAGTTATTTGATCTAATACTAAGATTGGTACTATTTTGGTTAGTGTTGGCATTACTGTGATGATGATGTTGTTGTTGCTGATGATGACTTAGGTTGTGATTGTTTGAATGTGACGACGAGGATCGTGATGGGGCTGCTGGTGTCAATGTTATTGATGGCGAGGCAGTGGTATTTGCCTGCTGCTGCAGCAAAGCCAATTGGGCCTGCAATTGTTGGGTGTACTGTAAGGCGGCCGCTGCCACAGCTGCACTAGTATTTCCGCCGCTAGCCAAGCGCCGCTGGAAAAATGCAAGAAAAATTAATAATAGTAAGCGTTAAAATAGATTTTGAAATGAAGGATATATATTTTTTTAAGTAAAGATATAAAAACTCGTTCTGACGAAATTACCGAACATTAACCAGATAACAATTTCTGCAGGAAAACATTATCCGAATAATATTTTCTATACGATAACAAATCGCTCATCGTATTTTCAAGGCGAAAACATTAAGGTGATGATGCATAAACAGCTTTACATCATGGCATGACATGGTGGGTAACATATCGTAAAGGGATGTCAGAGCCCCACTGGAATCCAGCCGTCCAAGGCCTATATAAGGTCGGCCAGAAAGCCCAAAAGACAATTGTGATTTCACATTTAAAGAGAATCAAATCACAATAATGTAAAAACTACTAAGTTTATGGTAAAAAGTAGTCTTCTTGGCCAACCTTATATAGGCCTTGCTGCCGTCTTTTTCCCCTTATAATTGAACATTAATATACCACGGTATGATGCCAAGCTGCTTATGTATTATCACCTTTACCCGGATGTTTTTTGATGAAAGCATTGTGCGGATAGCGCTGCAAAACAAAACCTACTTGTAAATCATCAGCACCTGCCGCCACATTACTCAACTGCTGATGATAGTCCCTGTCCCGCTTTGATGTATACAAATCACGGCTTGAAGATGATGAGGTCCTATCACTGTGATGTCGATCGCGGGGTGTATGATGTATGGCGGATATTTGTATCTGAGGCTGTTGTTCGCGCTGCTCACGTTGCTGTTGATAGTTGTAGAAATTTTGAACCTGAGAGCGTGGTATTGGTGTAACAGTGACGTCACTTAACTTAGATTCTACAGCTTGTATATCCATAATATCCATTTTGTTTGTTCTAGTTTTGCTTTGCTTGCTTGGTTGCCTGCCTGCTTGCTTGGTTGTTTTGTTGTTTGCCAAGACTCGCTTTTCTATTTCAGCTTTGATCCACTGACACACTTTAGCGCAAGTTATTTAGATATCAAATTGACAATACTTTTTGCTTTTAGGTGTACTGATTGTATACAATGGGTAGTAAATAATATTTGTATATTGTTTTTGTTAACTTTTTCTATTCGATTTCCTTTATTTGTTAGCTACGAAACTTTTCACAAAACTCTGCCAGAAAAACAAAAAACGTCAAGGCAAATTAGGGTTGTGAAGATCGATTTACAAACAATGGCAGGGTTATGGAAATCGAGTTATTAATATGGGCGCCAATTAAAGCAATCCATGCAAATTTACTAGGCAGCATTGTTGGGACAGCTGTTTTCGAAAATGTATAACTACTCATATTTTATTTTTTTAATTTAATTAAATTTTATTAAAATTTTAAAGGAGAATAGTTATTAATAGATGTACTTTGTCATAAGCCGTTACAATATTCAAATGAAAAAAAATCGGTGAATAATGTAACTAAAATCATCAAAATACCGAATATATGGAGTTACCGTTATATGGGGACACAGACAATTTTCTGTCATAGGCTGTAGTATCCATTACGAACTTCAAATACCAAATTTCAAACAATTCCGGTGAATAATGTCGCTAAAATCATCAAAATACCGAAAACAGGGAGGTATCGTTTTATGGGGGCTTTACGAAGACGAGGACCTGCACAGACAATTTTTGGTCATGGGCTGTAGTATCCATTACGAACTTCAAATACCAAATTTGAAACAATTCCGGTGAATAATGTCGCTTAATTCACCAAAATACCGAATGTCAAGAGGTACTGTTATATGGGGGCTATACCAAAATGTGGATCTACCCATGGTATAATGATATCAAGGTAGGGCTATGATACCATATGATTTAATTTTTTTTTATTTTCTTGGCTTAATATGTCATCTTTATTTGTTTATGTATGTGTTTTCTTTTCAATAACAAAAAAATTGTTCAGAAAATATTCAAATTCGGGTATTTTCAAAATGTTTATTTCAACGTATGCATCGACAAAATCTAGAGTTTTTGTAGCGAAATAATCCTTTAGAGATATATAGTACATGATCTTGAAAATAAGTGTTGACCTTTCATTCAGTTATCGCGGTTTTCAATTATTTATTCAAAATAAATGCAACAAGTTGTTTGATTTTTTTATTGTTTTAATACTAATTTTGACATTACAAGCCAAACAGGTAGGCCTCTATACTTGCAATTTTTTCAAAGTTGACCTACCTTCTCTTCATTGTACCATGGATCTACCTGGCCCATTTTCAATACCAAAAGTCCTGCAGACATAATATACATTTAAGAAAAATTTTATCAACCTGCTTCATTTCGTTAGGAAACTGGTGTCGCTAAATCGACATAGAATTTTATGCTGATAATAATGGAGTCTAAAATGTATATTTCAATGTGTTACAAACTTAATATACCCTTCATACCATGGTAGAAGAATACAGATAGTCGCATCGACACAGCTGCTGGGACAATGAACTGTCAAACTAAATTTGAAATTGAAAATTTTGAATAAAAATTATTTAGATTCGAAAAAATTGTTGAAAAACGAATATCATAACAATCTCCGATTGGTGTCGTATAAGAAAACATGTCAAAATCTACTTATTTTTGAAAAAGCATTTCAAAATTTTTGACATATCAATGTTCCCAAGCGTTGATGCATCTACCTGTATTTTTCTACCATGCTCCATACTAAGGTGGAGGCATGGTAGAAGAATATAGGTAGACGCATCGACACAGCTGCTGGGACAATGAACTATCAAACTAATTTTGGAATTGAAAATGTTGAATGAAAAATTATTTAAATTTGCAAAAATTGTTGAAAAACGCGGATTATAATAACCTCCGAATAACGTCTTATAAGAAAAAATATAAAAATCTACTTATATTTGAAAAAACATTCACAATTTTTTGACATATCAATACTCCCAAGCGTTGATGCATCTACCTGTATTCTTCTGCCATGGGTGGAGGTTATAAAAGTATGAAATTACGTGTGAATAAACACTAAATAAACGAATGCCTCAAGGAATGTTGACATATAAATGCTATTCACTTTTCACTGATAGCAAAGTTTCTGCAATGATTATCGTTATAACAGAACAGAATGAATGAAAAACATTTTCTTTGCAATTTTATTTTTCATATTATTCTTTTTTTATTGTACTATTGTTCAGAAATTTATTTCCTCTACAAAAGGTTTAACTTCAAGTTTTCCAGATTTCATATAGTCTGTAAGAGATATGTGTTGCATACTTTCAGGCGCTTTTGCATTTAATTTGACCAAACATTCACGAAATATAAAAAGACATAAAAGGATCTAAGAAATATTTATATAAATTATGATTTCGATATAATTTCCGACCTGAGAGGAAAAAAGGCGGCAAGTAACCGGAACAAAAAAAATCTCTCAAAAAAATGTGTGTGGAGGTCTAAAACCAAAACAACAAAAGGATGGAAATGGAGAGTGAATGTAAAAGCAAAATTTCCATTTGCCTTTGTGTGTTCGGCTTTCCACAGTAGTTTATTTACATTGAACAAACGCGTTGTCGAGGAAACTGTTATTAAGGTGACGAGAAAATTTAAATAGTTGTGGTTGTTGTTGTTGTAGCCACTGCTGATAATACAAAAGAGAAAACAAAGCCAAAAAAAGACACGACCGTAAAAATTAAGCACGAATAAAAGAACACCGCTGCCGCCATTGCGACTGACTGACTAAACATACAACAACAACAAAAAACAAATATCGAGCGAGCCCAGTTTGATTTTTTGGAGCAGTATTAAAACACAACGTCGCACTGAAACATAGCCAAGAGGAACCAAACGGTGACAATGGATTTCAAAAAGAATTGACTAATGCCGATACACACACAACAACAACGGCGATGACAACAGAATTTCATACCATTTTTGGAAAACTATTTATTAACTAAAAGCGTGAAAGAATATACGGCTTAAATGTAAACAAAGAAAGAAATCAAAAGTGAAAATTATAAACAGCAGAGCAGCAGTGTGCCAATATTTCATCAAACAAAAAGTGAGAGCGATAAATTTTGAAAAAAAAAATCGAAAAACAAAAATTAAAAGCTTTAAAAAGGATAAAAAATTACTAATTACTTTTCGAAATTTCTCTTGCATAAGTGTACAATTGCAAGTACTGTGTATGGGCGTGTGTGTGTGTATGATTGAATATGCCTCGACGTGTTGCAGCAATTATTGTGTCGCCTCCTCACTGTTGTATGTAGATTTTCGATTTTTCCATTGTATCTTTCAAATTCAGTTTTTATCTCCCTTTGTTTTCCTACCCAGTTCATTTGATTGTTGTAACTAACCAACCAACCAACCAACCAGCGAAACCAAGTCCAATAACATTTTTGTTGTAAATTTTCCTCATTTTCCTATGCACAGACATGCAACAACAGACAGACAGACAAGCAGGCACACAGTCAAACAATGGTGGTTACCTCCCTAGTTTTACATTAACAGTTTTTTGTTACAAAAAATCGTCACTGTTCGTTACAAGCGAGAAACATGGAAAATCTTAACCCCCCACCCACTACCAGCTAATAAGCAAATATGGTAACAGCTGTTCATGTCGAGAAATAACAAATAACCGCAGAAACATTAAAATATAACAGTTATTTAAATACTAAATAATACAAATTGATCTCTGTCTATATATTTTAATTTACTTTTAAGTTACTAGTATTGTTTTCATTATTTCTAATTTTATTTGAAATGTTTTTGTTTATTTTTATGAAAACCGCATAAATTAGATGTCAGAGAGTAGAGTAGAAATTCCTTCAGAGAGTGATAATAATAATTTTTTGCTCATTGATAGGGATTTCTAGGCTGAAAAAAGTATTCGCCGTAAATTAGGTGTCTGCCATTCAGAGGTGCATGAAATAGTATAAAAGGATGGTTGCCTTAATAGCGAGTTGATGTCATATCAAATTAGGACTTTCTTTAAAATTAAGCTTTTTACGATTGGCAAACGCTCTATCGTGATTAGATGTATTAAATCAAATATGCATTTTTGATATATAGACTATTATGATAAAAAAAGTATTCACGAAAAAAGTTCAATTTCATTAAAACAGTAGGCCGGGACAAAGCTAAATGAACGGGAGTTGAAGTATTATTTCATTTCAAGAGTCACCAATGACTCTTTGTGTTTTTTGTCGATAACACATGTTATTTATTAAATCATGCGAATATGTCCACAAAAATAGGGAGTTTTCAACACTGCACTACCATTTATGTAAAAAACATCTTTCGAATAAAAAAATATGCTTTTAAAAAAAGTTTTTCATATCTTATTATCACGAAAACAGATATGAGCATTTATCAATTTTCAAATTGATGCCTATTTACGTCTTTTGGTTTTTTTATAATTTTTGCACAGAAAGAGAAAGGATAATCCGATTTTGCTCCAACTTTGCATATACAAATATTTGCATCAGTGCAAAATCTGGTGCGAAAATGGATAATATCGGTCCACTCCATCAAGTACCTTACCCACAAAGGGTTAACATTTTGAATAACCAAAATGATTATAAAATTCGAAACAATCATCCGGTTCTCTTAAAATTTTACACATCACAGCATTTTTATTAATCCAAAGTCTGGTGTAAAGATGGGATATATCGGCCTACTCCTTGTGGTACCTACCCCACAAAGGGTCAAAACCAAGAATATTCATGAAGCTCATAAAACACGAAATTAACATCCGATTCCACTCAGACTGGGCAAATCCCAATATTTCCATCAACACAAGACCTGTTATGAAGATGGTAGAGATCGGACCATTCCTTCTGGTACCTCTCCCACAAAGGGTTAACATTTTGAATAACCAAAATGATCATAAAACCCGAAATAAGGATGCAGTTCTCTCAAAATTTTACACATCGCAATATTTTTATTAGACCAAGGTCTGGTATGAAGATGGGATATATCGGTCCACTCCTTCTGGTACCTTTCCTAAAAAGGGTCAACATTTCTCAATATTTCCATCAACGCAAGATCTGTTATAAAGATGATAGAGATAGCACCATTTCTTGCGGTACATATCCCATAAATGGTTAAAGTTTTGAATGACCAAAACGATCATAAAATTGAAAATAAGCATCCTGTTTTCTTCAAATTTTACCTATCACAATATTTTTATTAACCAAAGATCTGGTGCGATGATGGAATAATTCTTCGACTTCGGAATATTTCTTCAACTGTCCCTTGTGCCTAATTTTTGCAATAGTGCAAATAATACAACCCTGGCAACGACACCAAGAGAGAAAGAGAAGACATGCCTGCATATGAAATAATTCGCCGCTTTAGTTGTCAGTTGTATTCGAATTGCAGGCGAATTGAGACACACACTCATACAACTCGAATTTTGTTTGACTCTGCAGCTGTTTGTTATTTTCTATTCTATTTGTTAACGAAGCAAGCAGCTTGTGAGTAATCTTAATTCATGTTAACGGCAATTATAACAAAAAACATAAAAATTAATGTAAATTATTAAAATCAAAAAAATATAAATAAAAAAAATCGAAGCAAGTTTATACAAGCCAAGAAAGAAAAAAAAATTCAAGCCCACACAAATTTTTTAACAGAGGCAAAAAAGAAACTGCCTGTCAAACGAACGTCAGCGGCAACGGCACGACAGCAGCAGCTAGAAAAATTCGCGAAAATAAGGAAGTGGTGTGTGTTTGTAAAGTGAGAATAAAGAAAAATTGAAGTAGTTTTTGCAAAAGGAATCTTTGTTATATTGAAAAAAAAAATCCAAAATTGAAAGAAAGAATTTTTTTTGTAAATGAGAGAGGAGGAGGCCAGCGCAATTGATAGTTGTTGTCTCCTTAGAAATGTTGAAAAAAGAAGCCCTGTGAACGATTAAAATAAAAAAACACGAAAACTTTAATTAATTATTAGTTCCCGAGTCATTTTTTGCTTTTGGGCTGAACACAACAACAAAAAGCGGTGAGTCTTTTCTTCTTTTTGCTGAGCAGCAGCAGCAGTGACACCAAACCTCACTTTTTTCGTCTTATATTTTTCTTGTTCTTCTTGCCTCTCCTATGCAAGCTTTTTGAGCATGTGTGTGTGTGCGTGAGTGTAATTGTGTGAATTTTGAATTGAAGTCATACAAACGTTGACGTTATTTTAACGGCGACGACGACAGACGGACAGACACAATTTTTGTACTGCATCAAAAACTAAACTACTGTTGTTTTTGTTGTTGTTTTTTCATGTTCTTCAACTACTCTCTGGCCTGCCTGGTTGGTTGTGTTGTGTTTTGCTGTGCTGTGCTGTGCTCTGAACCTACGCCAAAAAATTAGACAAACAAGTATTATAGCTTGCTAGCCAGCCACCAGCACAAGTAGCAGCAACAGCAGCCGCAGCCACAACTCCCACAATGGAATTCATCACAATTGGCCAGAGTGTCAATATAAAACGAACGGATGGCCGTGTACATGCGGCCGTCGTCTCCAAGATCAATGAATCGGGCAAATCAATCACAGTCGAATGGTACGAAAGGGGCGAGACCAAGGGCAAAGAGGTAGAGCTGGAGGCCATATTGGCTCTTAATCCCGAGGTATTGGAACAGGCCGAACAAGAGGTGGTGCACACAGCCCCCGAACCGAAAAAGATTGCCACAGCTCCCATGAACTTGTCCCGCAATGCCACACAAGGTGCCATCGGCCATCGCACTAATCGAGCCACCATTAATTCGTCCAATATCCTGTCGTCGGCCTCTGTGGCTGAGCATGTGGAGAATATACCGCCTCAACAACAAATCCAACCGCCCACAACCGGCATAGTGCGGTCACGTACCACCAACAATGCCTCCCGACTAGCCTCGGCCAATTCGGGCAGTGGTGGTGGTGGCGCTCAAACAACAAACACCTCCAGTATTGGTAATAACTCATCATATGGTGGTGGTGGAGCGGGTTCAAATTCCGTTGCCACTGCCGGCAATGCACGGCGTTCCTATGTGGTCAAAGAAGTGGAACGCCTCAAGGAGAATCGTGAAAAACGACGAGCCCGCCAGGCGGAAATCAAAGAGGAGAAAAACGCCCTAATGAACCAAGATCCCGGCAATCCAAATTGGGAAACAGCACAAATGATACGAGAATATCAATCGACATTGGAATTTAATCCGCTAATCGATGGCGCCGCCGTAGAAGATCATCAAATTACCGTGTGTGTACGTAAACGACCATTGTCGCGCAAGGAAATTAATCGCAAAGAAATCGATGTTATCTCCGTGCCGCGCAAGGACACCCTGATTGTACACGAGCCGCGCAACAAAGTGGATTTGACGAAATTCTTGGAAAATCACAAATTTCGTTTCGACTATGCCTTCGATGATCGCTGTGACAATGCCATGGTTTACAAGTGAGTAATTGTTAGTTGTATTTATTTTTAAAACAAATAACGGTTTTTTCTCTTTTTTCATTTTATTTCAATTAACGTCAAGCTAGAGATTGTCAAGAATTCATTTGTAGATCACGAAGTATTTTCCATTTATTATTGTCTTATATATATATCTAGCGATATCAAGTGACGTCATATTGCTAAGAAGAATGACATTTGATATGAGTGGTATATAGACTTCATTTATAGATCACGGTGTATTTTCCAAGAATCTCATCAATTGAAGGCTATTGTGTTTTTAGGAAAAAACTTTTCAATAAGGATTTTTTTTCTAAAAGAGAATTTGTTATCGAAAATCAGTCCTTATAGAAACACCATTCCATTTAAGATGTAATTTTGCTTTTTAACAATTTTTAACAAAAGAATTCTTATCGGCAACTTTTCTTTACAGGAATTGCGCCATCGCCAACCTGTATTTAAAAAAAGTTGTCGAGTACATTTTTAATGTTATCGAATTTTTTTCGTGATAATATAGACAGTGGAAATAGGCTGTAATTGGTAGTTTACTGGATAATAAAGCTGTTATCGACAGTGGAAAAAGGTAGTAATCGAGGATTTTTTTGAATGGAACTTTGTTATTGACAAATGTTCGTTAAAGAAAAGTTGTTATCGACAACCTTTCATTAAAGAAAAGACAACTTCGTTATAGATAAATTGTTATCGACAACTTTTGGTTATAAATAAGATGTTATCGATAACTTTTCATTTTACATAAGTTGGTATCGACATCTTTTCATTTTATATAAGCTGTTATCTACAACTTTTCGTTATAGAAAAGTTGTTTTCGATAACTTTTCGTTTTAAATAAGTTGTTATCGATAACTTTTTGTTTTATATAAGTTGTTATCGACAACTTTTCGTTATAGACAAGTTATTATCGACAACTTTTCGTCATAGAAAAGTAGTTATCGATAACTTTTTGTTATAGATAAGTTGTTATTGACAACTTTTCGTTATAGAAAAGTTGTTATCGACAACTTTTCGTTATGGAAAAGATGTTATCGACAACTTTTCGTTATAGAAAAGATGTTATCGACAACTTGTCGTTATAGAAAATATGTTATCGACAACTTTTCGTTATAGAAAAGTTGTTATCGACAACTTTTCGTTATAGAAAAGTTGTTATCGACAACTTTTCGTTGTAGATAAGTTGTTATCGACAACTTTTCGTTGTAGATAAGTTGTTATCGACAACTTTTCGTTGTAGATAAGTTGTTATCGACAACTTTTCGTTGTAGATAAGTTGTTATCGACAACTTTTCGTTATAGAAAAGTTGTTATCGACATCTTTTCGATATAGAAAAGTTTTTATCGACAACTTTTCGTTATAGAAAAGTTGTTATCGACAACTTTTTGTTGTAGAAAAGTTGTTATCGACAACTTTTCGTTGTAGAAAAGTTGTTATCGACAACTTTTCGTTGTAGAAATGTTGTTATCGACAACTTTTCGTTATAGAAAAGTTGTTATCGACAACTTTTCGTTATAGAAAAGTTGTTATCGACAACTTTTCGTTATAGAAAAGTTGTTATCGACAACTTTTCGTTATAGAAAAATTGTTACCGAAAACTTTTCGTTATAAAAAAATTGTTATCGACAACTTTTCGTTATAGAAAATTTGTTATCGACAACTTTTCGTTATATAAAATTTGTTATCGACAACTTTTCGTAATAGAAACTTTTTTATCGACAAATGTTCGTTATATAAAAGTTGTTATCGACAAGTTTTCGCTACAGAGAAGTTGTTATCGACAACTTTTGGTTATATAATAGTTGTTATCGATAACTTTTCTTTATAGAAAAGTTGTTATCGACAACTTTTCGTTATAGAAAAATTGTTACCGAAAACTTTTCGTTATAAAAAATTGTTATCGACAACTTTTCGTTATAGAAAATTTGTTATCGACAACTTTTCGTTATATAAAATTTGTTATCGACAACTTTTCGTAATAGAAACTTTTTTATCGACAAATTTTCTTTATATAAAAGTTGTTATCGACAAGTTTTCGCTACAGAGAAGTTGTTATCGAAAACTTTTGGTTATAGAATAGTTGTTATCGATAACTTTTCTTTATAGAGAAGTTATTATCGACAACTTTTCGCTCTAGAAAAGTTGTTATCGACAACTTTTCGTCATAGAAAACTTGTTATCGACAACTTTTCGTTATAGAAAAATTGTTATCGACAACTTTTCGTTATAGAAAAGTTGTTATCGACAACTTTTCGTTATAGAAAAGTTGTTATCTACAACTTTTCGTTATAGAAAAGTTGTTATCGACAACTTTTCGTTATAGAAAAGTTGTTATCGACAACTTTTCGTTATAGAAAAGTTGTTATCGACAACTTTTCGTTATAGAAAAGTTGTTATCGACAACTTTTCGTTATAGAGAAGTTGTTATCGACAACTTTTCGTTATAGAAAAGCTGTTATCGACAATTATTTTTAATGGGATGGGTTTTTTTTGGCAACTTTTGTGTAAAGGAAAGTTTTAATCGACTACTTTTCTTTATAGAAATGTTGTTATCGATAACATCTCAATGCAATTGCTATCATTAGAGTGAATATTTTTATATTATAGAGTGAATATTTTTATATGGATTCTAAGAATCAACCTATAATAGAGAAATATATATATAAAATTATATACAAGACTTCAACGGGAAATGACACATCGTGATCCCCCAAAAATTGTCTGATTAGGAATTCAAATTTTAAACGATAAAAATTTTCAACGACGTAATTGATATGGTGGTTGGATAGTGATGATGATGTTATGACTCATCAATTGAACTGTTTAGAGTATATTTGTGTTTCTTAAATATCAAAACAAATACTTTGGCGACGGTTTATACAAATCCGCAAAAGATTTTAATTATGAATCATTCATGAGTTCCAAACTTTATAAAATAAAGATTCAAATATAGATTTTGTTGATATTTTTAAGAGTCTTTTGCACCTCGAAAGAACAGGTTATTTTAAAAGTTATATCTAGAAGCATTGGACTTTTCCAGACATAACTAGATTAGATTTTAGGGCGTTGGATGTTTTTATTATTTCCTTTTTTTTTGATTTTCCCCTATTTAAATGAGTTGATAGTTCTCAAATTTTCCCCCTAAGGCAGAAAACTAAAATACATAGTTCCCCCAACTTCTCAGCAGTTTTGATTTGTTTTTCGTGTTAACGACAACGACTGATAATCCAATTCTCCCCCCACAACAATATTTGCAATGGCGACCTTGCGTGTGCGTTAATCCAACACCCGGTTCACCATTTTTGTTTTGTTTTCATATTTTGCTTGCTGACTTGACAATTGACATATGGTCCGGTCCGGCCAATGGTCTTTATTTTTGCCTTTTTCATCTACCAATGGAAAGGTGATCGTTATGGCGTTGATGATACATGCATGCAATGGAAAGTGGTGATATGCATTGTACATCTGCCGGTTAAATTACATAAACAAATGGATGTTTATATGTGTGCTTTTTTTAATTTTTAATATGCATGTAGCGGATAAGAGAAAAAGTGAAGGAGGAAATTATGACAAAATGATTGTGAAATTTTTCGCTTTTGAATTGTCGACACATTTTTGAGTTGTTATCGATACCTCCTGTCCATTTGCCATGTGTTCTTGTGTGGCCCAAGGACGGACCCTATTGAAATTAGTGATAATTGGATCAGATTTAGATATAGCTCCCATATATCTTCAACCGATTTCGGGTTAATTGTAAACCAAATGGCCAATATAAGTCCAAATGACTTGAATTTTGGTACATCTCATCGAATTCAATCTAAAAGCAAGTACATTAAATTTGGAGAAAATCGGTGGAGATATAGCTGAAGCTCCCATACATATGTTTCATCCGATTTGGGGTTTTAAGTCCCTCACATTCGTAATATGCATTGGACAACAATGATATTTGGTACCAGATATCTTAAAGAGCTCAGAAATACTTTTGCCAAATTTGGTCGAGATCGGCTAAGATTTGAATATAGCTCCCATATATATCCTTATTGCGATTTCAGGTGATATCCCACACTCTATAGCAATGTCATTTGGAATAAAAGATTAAAATGTCTCCGTTAAATTCAGTGAATATCAATTCAGAGTTGCATATTTCTTCTATATTTTAATTCCCTTTGAAACCAAACTATAACAGCTCTAAAGGCAAATGTTGGTGGGTGGTATAATCTACTTCAAATAAATTCTTTTTTTACCGGAGCTCTTCTGAATATGCATAGTGGTGTAGGGCGGCCTCGCCCACCCGTCTTATAACTTTTCCTTACTGGTTCTTTGTAGAAAGTGGGGTATCTTTGAAAATATTTGAAATTGAAGGAAAGTTGTCATTGAAATTGAAACCTTATGGTTCTAGAAATCTTCATTCTTTTCCTTAGATGTTCTTCAGTCTTTATTTCTTCCAATAAATTGCTCGAGATCATCTTTTCAATTAAAATCAATTTACATTTTTTACACTTTCTTTGTAAAACAACAGCACAAAAATGATTTCATTGTTTACATAGACACATTAATCAATACGATAATCACTGTCAGTAAAGCGGTTTTTGTGTTGTCTTTCACATAAACAAAAGAATCCACAAGCAAACAACTACAAAAAACAAAACGTCACCATATTCAGAGACAGGGAAATCAAAATATCATAATAATAACTGCCGCCGCTAAAACACTTGTGCTCTGAGTAATTTATAACTCATGAAGAAGAAGAAGAGGAAAAACTGATATTGTTTGTGCAAGCACCACATACACACACACAGAGAAACTTACTTCCATTGCTAATGACAGAATAATGCTAGGAACACAATTGGAGCGAACGACGAATTTCGTCCTACGCGGCGACAAAATGAGCCGCGAAAATTCGTCGTATGGAACACAATACCGACGAAATTATAAAACAGCTGATGAAGTTGTTTACTTTTTGCTCATTTGTTGACTACAATGAAAATTATAC